TCAGCTGCTCTGGTGAACAACAACCGAAACCGGCAACAGCCGTGTGAACAATCGCGTTGCGTTTCTGGTGTAGCCGAACACTGCGCACCGGAGACTGGCGTCAGAAGTGACGAAGTGACGCGACCAGTGGACTAATGTGCAGATGACCAGGGACGAGGTCTAGCACAATGAACGATTGTGAAGGTGCCGAAAGTGTTTGCCTTCGCTATGATTTAGTACTAAGTGATATAGGTAGTGTAGTGTACCAAGAATCTGTATAGGTCCTTGTGTAGTTTTAGGAAGAACTCGCGAGAACCTGCGTAGCGAAGTCGTGAATCTCGTGAATGTACAGAATGTTCCGTCGGAGTTCAGTGATTGTGTGATCTCCCGTCTTAAGTCGATCACAGGGGAGGAGTGTGTCACCGACGAAATGAACTGCCCTGTTGTTCTTCTCTTTCGTTTTACATTTGACAGCCACGCGTGATCTATCGCAGTACTGGTCGTGCCCCGTGAGCCTGGACCAGCTCTTCTGTTAGTTTCTCGTCTCATGTTCTAATTGCCTACAATTTGTCACTCGCGATATCGCTTCACACTTGTCGGCTGTTCGTGCTCGCCGCGCACCGTATCCTTTTACCGAACGTGCCGCGTGAGCCTTTTCGGACTTTTCTCACCAGTTTCCAGTGTCGCTTTCTGAGTGTTTTTAGATGGACAACCTAATTGTTCTCTTTGTGCCCGCGGCGGCTCCTCGAGTCGCTGCGGGCAGTCTCCACTTGAACGCCACCGAGTACAGTCCTCGGTGGCGGTGCGCGGCTCCACCGGCGCCCCGATGTGCGCCGGCGCCCCGATGTGCGCCGGCGCCCCGATGTGCGCCGGTGTCAGTGAAGTGACGGAATCGTGCACCGCGCACGATTCCGACGGCACCCCCAGCGGGCTGCCAGAGTGAACGGCATCCCTAGCGGATTGCCGCAGTGAAACAGGCACCCCCAGCGGGTTGCTAAAGTGAACGGGCACCCCCAGTGGGCTGCCAAAGTGAACGCCACTGAGCGCGTAGCTCAGTGGCAGTGCGCGATTTCGCCGGCGCCCCGACGCGCGCCGGCGTATTGCGAGTGAATCTGACGGCGCCCCCGTCCGCGGCGGCGCCGGTGTGTCCGCCTCGGCGGACAACAGTGACCATCGACAGTGCTACTGTGTTTTCTGGTCTACCTGTCTACTCTGCGTTCTTCAATTTCACCCTCGTCTACCGTTCATCATCATCTATCGTCCGGAATTCTTCAATATATTCTTCAAAATTCATCTACGTTTTTCCTCCACTACAATAAATGTCCCGGCCTCCACCAGAGGCACGACAAGGTCGGCGACAATTGGTATTTTGAGATACTTGACGCACATTGCCCAAGAGTATCAAAACAAACTTTTAAACTCGCAATATGAATGCTTTCCAAATACTGAACTTATAGGCTATAGCTGGGCTCGTACGACTAAATGCATTTCTGTTCAAACATCCGTCCACTACAACAAACAGCATGCATTCAGCTCCACAAATGAAGCAATGAACTGCACTAAATATTTTAACTTCTCATTTGTCGTTTCATTTTCGAACCTCAGTTAAATAAAAAGCCAAACTTCCCATTTCTACCGCCAAACTTTCCAAGTCGTCGAGGCGGGTAAATACCTACCACACATTCACCATTACTTCGCATCCCGTTCTTCTTCTTATCCTTACTCCTCCACCTCATACCAACCTCCCACGCGCTCATATTCACGTCAGCCATGCCACGCCGCATCCTGCCGGCTGCAGACGGGCTGATTGACTCCCGTGTAAAGTGCCGGCCGACCAGGCAACTGCCTACCGAGCCTCCACACCGCACCGACGCTGCGCTCTCTCGGAATTAATTGGCCCGCTCTCCAGTGGCCACTCATGACATTGGCGACTGTGGCCGAACCCGATTACGTCGGGGAGAGGTCGGGGTCGCGTCCGGGTCGCGTGGGGCATCGCCCAGCGGCACAGAAGAGTCAAAGGTCGCCCGCTCGACCAACTGATCGGGCCGGCCGCTTACGCAGATAACGGCCAGACGCTGGTGCGCGGCAAAGAACAGGGAGCTAAGACTCACTGGAACGTTAGTAAGATTGCCAGTTTGTATGCCTATACTTGCTGACTTGGACTGTCTGGTCTGTCAGCTTCCCCTGTGGAAAACAGCATATTGCGAATCGAACATAAAAGGTGATAATAATTTGGCAGTGCGGTCTTTCTAGCCTGCTGGCCGTCAGGGGAAATCTACATCAGTAATTTCTCGTCCACTTCAGTGCCGAAAACACGCATTGGCACTCTCTCCCGGTGCCGCTGCGTACTGCAATAACGAAAGGCATAGGTACACTGACTAGGTATTTGCTGTGTGGTGCAGTATGGGGATCCCATAAATAGTGGTTTCATCCGTGTGTAGTGCCACTAGGGCACAACTGGCGACACTGAGGCCTGTCATTGGTCAGTGAACACTGTACAGCCTACAGATCCCCGAGGGCACAACTGGCGACGGGAAGCATATCATTGACTACATTCAGTAGAGTACAGATCCTCGAGTGCAACGCTGGCGAGACTGCAGCCTGTCGTCGGCTTGGTCATTCGTTGACTCGGTCTGTCATTGCTTGTCATTGACTCTGGCGGTTACGGCACCGGCGGCAGTACCGGCTACATCGGCTGACATACGTCACATGAGGGACAGAGTCATGGTGCTGGGGAACCGACGCAGCACGGCTGGGAACAGCTGCTGCATCAGCCATACAGAGGGAGGGGTGGAAGGGGACGGTCCATCCGGGCCGGACCATCAGAGGCGACCCACTTGGCAGACGACCACCGGCCACTGCCCACTACCATATCCGCTAAGAATACTGTCAGGGAGCTGAGAGCCAGATGATGGCACCGACACCATGGGCGAACTCAATAATAATAGGAAGAAATCGACCTGTCTTTAGGCACTAAATACATCTAAGCATCACCAGCCCTAACACACCATCCCCAAGTATCGATGAACCATCGATATCCCCTCTGCATCGGCGGCCCCCTGAGAGCACAGGATGCCGGATGCAGAGGCCAGTGCCGCCGGTGGCCGCGGCTGTCAGGGGGACACCCGCTACCGCCGGTCCTAATGGTTAGTGGCGCGGCGGTGACAGTGTCGGGCACAGAACGCCCCAGGCAGCAGCGGCGGTGTCGGCGGGGGGTACAGACAGCGGTGGGAACTAGCCGAGTGGGGTAACCAAGGAGCACATTCACTGCCATTTGTACCAGTCAAAGCCGCCCCACTGCGTCCCACGCCGCTGCACCGGCGTGAAAAGGCGACCGAGACCCCTTTGTCGAATTCGAGGGTGAATGCAGGCACATTAGTGCTTCGCTCAATGCATCGATACCAGCACTTAAAAGTTTCGCCAGCTAACAAGCTTTTGAGTGTAAAGAACTGTAAAGAAAAATGCTGACTACGGTAAACGTGATAACCAATAAATAATCAACAACGAGGCCAAACTCCGTCTTGCATTATTATTGCTTCTATGGCAAAGTGACACATGAACTCTCAATAGGCACCTTATGGCCCCAATAAGCTAATGGATTCTTGCAGCAATGCATTGGGCTTCCCTCCGGGATTCACAAGTTTCAGGGCGATCCTGCACAGAGCGGAGCAGAGGCGGCACCAACCCACCTTCGGCCTCGGCGACCGGCAACTATCATTACAAGATGATATCCAAATGACGTGACAGGCACACGGTCATGCACATATAATTGTACGTCCCATCACGTACAGATAGGACAGACGGACAGACAGGCAGACAGGCATACTGCAGACAGAGAAACGAACAGACAGACACACTACAAAAAGATGAACAGACACAGACACAAACAAATACCAACACAAGCTCACCCATACACCTATAAAAACACAAACATTGCCTCAAACACACAGTCACACCACCAAATGTGAAAATACACGTACTTTTTTCATATGTTTAAAAACATGTGTAATATGTTTAACCCTCGCCCGTATAGGGGGGGGGGGGGTCGAACCGACCGCCACCCCCCCCCCCTCCCCACTCGGTTTTTCGCGAATAGCTCGCGTAAAAAGCGGCCGATCGCGACGAAACTTTCAGTACCCTCGAGTTGATCAATTTTACACGTACCCTGAAAATATCATGACCCTGACCCAAATGACCTTTGACCTGTGACCTACTTTTCGAGACAACATTTGTCCGGAATTGCGATTCGGCGTATGTCGGCTCGCATTAGCCGCGCGTTTGCAGTCTTTTCGTGGTTTTAAGCGTTCAAACATGTGAAATGATGTTGGTCCCATGCATTAGGGTGGGTGTCAAGGTCACCTGAAGGTCAGGTCAGGACATTGACCTTTGATGACCTCGGTTCACTTTTTTCGGGTTTTACATGTTTCTAGACCAGTTGTTTTAGCTGAATTCGAATTTAGAAACCATATGAACATTTACGAAGTAGTTTTGGTGCCTTTGTAACATGTTACGAAGCTGTCAGAGGCGGTTGACACCTACTACGAATACCCGGCAGGACCACTACTGGTTGACCTGACCTGACCCGACCTAAATGCATGAAGACATCTGATCAAAACTAACATAATATTCATGATCAGCACCCCGAAAAAAACCCATAGCAGTCACACTTTACGACGTTCTAACAGGTCCTTATTTTCCCGACTCTTGGGTCATTGACCTGACCTGGAAGGTCACCCAATGACCTAGGACCTTAAAATTGGATATCATCGGCTTCCTTTCGTCACGGGCAACACGCTCGTTTTTTTTCCGCGACGCTCTAGCTCGATCAGGGGCGAAACGGCAAGGGGGAGTCCAACGGACCTCCCCCCCCCCCCCCCTTATACGTTCGCGGCTGGAAAAACACCAACACGGGCGAGGGTTAACGAATTTACAGGCAATGTTAAAACAATACACATAACACACATGAAGGTTTATGCATAAGTATGAGCCCCCACACCCGTCCACCGAGCGCCCCGACTGACCGTAGCAGAAGATGCGCGGCGAGGTGACCTTGACCGAGCGCAGCGCGCCCAGGTGGTTGAGCACCACACACCGGTAGCCGTGCATGCACGCGTAGTGCACAAACGACCAGATGTACACCGTCTCACTCGAGTTGCCGATACCCGGACACACGGCGATCGTGTAGTCGCCTGAAGAAAAGGGGAAGAAGTTAGAAAAAGACAAGTGTCACCAGCGGAAAAGGGAGGTGATGAGGAGAGGGAAGATGTCAGAAGGTGACCGACTTGTCGCCTGAGGAACATGGGAGATGTCAGGAGGTGATGACTTTTATATCGTCTGTCTGTTACCAAAATGTATTGCGTATGGGAAAGGTAAAAAGATGAATTCATGTAGTCATCTGCGGGAAGGCGGAGACGTTAGTTTGCAGGTGCGCCACAACTTACGGGAGTTGATAAGAGCAGCAGCGCTGGTACATCCTATTCTGCCTGTTGATTTCACTGTCGGATATCCGTAATGATCCCATTTAGTGGACTAGTCTCCAAAGGCGGATTCGGCAGCCGGTCCGATTCCTACGACGAAGTCACAATGAGTGGCGGTATTACATCAAAGCCGTCCCCGAGCACTGCAGTCGAAGGGAACCAAACAGCCCAAACGGAGAGCATTATAAACTGCCTCAATAACGAGCGTCGAGCTGATCAGAAGCCGGCCGGCGCGGCCCGATCGGCATCGCAGCCCTTTGTTAGGCGATTTTGAACAAATCGCCGAAAAGATCAGCGGTCATCTGGGTTAGGAATTCGCTCGAATTATTTCTTAGCAATATTTATGCATTACAACAATGGCAGGGAGCATATTACAATACAAAATATAGTTACATACACACTACAGGAAGCAGGTACCGACCAGGTCCAATCTGCTGATTGTGCTCAACGTTTCTGAAGCATCCCGAACATAAATGCTAATTGATACAAAAGTAGCTTGCTAATGGCTTATGTGATTTAAATGGTCTCTGCACACAAGCCCAAGCGGTTAATTAGCGAACGGCGCAAAACGAATAAATGTTGTGTGTCGTGTTACACGTACGATTCTTTTTCTTTCTGGGCCCGCGGCCAGGCCCGTCGGCGGGCCAGACCCTGTGATGTGATGACCAGAGTACGGAGGAGCCCCGGCCGCTATCAGCTGCCATTGGCACTGATGAACGGCGCAGGCCGGCCGGGGTGTTGCACAGGACAGGCACGCTGGCGGGGTGGGAGGGGAGAGGGAGGAGAGAAAGAGGGGGAAAGAAAGAAAAAAGAGACTGAAGAACCCTACATGCTGGATGACCTGAAGGAAGGGAAGTCAACAGCTGTACTGTGCCTCTTCAAACAACGGTTAGTAAAAACCGAAACCACTGGAACCGAGGCAAAGACAATAGCATGGCGACGGTCCAGCTTTGTAGTGCTCTTATTCAAAGTCCTCTTATTCCTATTCGCCGCTAGACAGACATCTCGGCCTGCCCACCGGCCGCTGAGCAGAGCCATGCGCCAGTAGACGTGAAACTACCAACTTTCAGCCTGCTATCTTCAGTCTGCTCGGCAATCCAGCGCCGCATAGTCGCCACCATCCGCAGCCCTGCCCGGCACACCGCCGGTAGCCGTACTGCCCTGGCCAGCTCGTGTTGATAAGCGGTGTCGCAGGGTGTAAGAAAGGCTGTCGGTCGACGGCGAGCGGCGGCCCCCGCTGGGCCCCACAACTCGGCCATCTGTTCAATCTGTCAGCCGGTTACGGCGTACCGTGCCGCCACCATGCGACACGGAGCACGAATAAAGTCCGCTGCTATAACAGGCACGATGGCCCGCTGATATATCACTACATAAGGTATGTAGTATGTACGCTACAGGACACAGGCGTGGTTTAATAATTCGTAATAGGCGGTATTTTTGTTATTTTCTCCGATGATAAAACCAAATGAGGTTAGCTACAATACAAAAATGCTAGCAGCATGGTTCAACAATCGGTTTTGCAGAAATATGTCAAACAACAATTGTATTGAGTCAGTAGACGGCAAAGACTGCTTATATTTCAAAGTTCATTTTTAAAATAAGTCATTGAACCGGTAGCTGAATGCACTGATTTCTAAATGTACCAGAAAATGGAGGTGGTTTCCGGGACCAAATTGTTTTTGTTTCCGACAAACGGACAACCGTTTGAAAACAAATGAGACATTATGAACAGTGCCTGCAAGATCATAATTTGCCAAAGAAAAACGATTATCCATCCGACCGTTCGAGTTCTCTCTCGCCTGAGAAAATTTAAATTCCAAAATATATAACACCAGCTGTTTGGCTCCGATCAACACAACCCTAGTCCTCTCCAGGACACTTAAAGGGTCGTCCTATCAATTCCTTTTAGCACTACCGGTGCAAATTAGCTCAAATTTGGCCCATAAGGAACATTCACCATACCCTAGCCACAATGACCCAATAGTGACCCTAGATCCCTGCCCCAGTGAAGTGGTCGGTTTATCTACGGACCCAGCCACAGTCGACATACATGCCCCACTGAACGATACCAGAAGACGGCGCGCCCCAGGCAGACCCGAAGTACCCCGCTGCCGGTCGGCTGCCGGTGGCATTACGCAACGGCGTGGGAGGACATTGGACCTGGCCACGGGTGCATTTGCGCAACGGGGTCTGTTTGCACGGGCAACCCTCCAAGGCCCACGCTTCATGCGAATTAGTGTCATATATCTACGGCAAGCCAAGTGCGTGGATTAAAAGCACACAGCTATTCGGGAACGAACCCACAGAGCTGCAAATGAAAAAGCCGACGCCTGCTCGAGCATTCGTTCCCAGTCCCTCCACCCAATAGAGTCCCCGAAATGGCGCCACAGCACGGTATCCGGTACCGCAATCTACGCAGCTGATATTTCGAAGCAGCGCACCTGCCCCATATCGGCTTGGCAGGCCACCGCGCTCGGCAGGTTTAACATCAACATAGGGTCGGCTTGACTAAATCCCGGTATAACTATGAGTAAGACCTTAGACCGATAAGGCTGCGCTCCACCTCACCGCGGTTCCCGCCAGGCCATGGTCTTGACAATGCACCACGGTCATGAAATTGGCATCACTAGCGCCCAAACTTTCCATCACAGTCCGATCATGCACATTGCACAACAGTTGGCCGCGTCCGGCGGCTCTGGCGTTTATCCGCGCCGCCCTCGAGGTAGGTTACATTCATTGTACATTGAACACTGCATATTCCGCATGACTGCGTGGTTCTGGGGTGGGACTGATACGACTCCAACAATCAGAACCATAAAAAAAACACTCAAAACAATTGTCACTTCACCATCGGTACCTACCACATTATCCCACCAATATTATCCAATCTCTAATGCTCGCTAGTTCGTCAACAGGGTGTCATGACGGAGCGGAGAGATATCGAGTGGAAGCCACACCATTACTAAGCGGATGTTCATGATAAAGCGGATCCGGATGTTCCGCTGCATATAAATGTTATGCAGCGGATGTTATGGCAGCTACACTTTTCCCGTTTGTTTTAGTCTCAAGTTTTATGTAAAAAAAAATCGTACGCAAACTATGGAGAGAGTAGCAAATGTGTGATTTTATGGACACAAGCATCTAAACCATGTCTTTAAACAAATAAGTTTTAAGTACCACTATAAATCCACCTCGAGTGAAACCACCTAGCCATTAGGATCCGATGACACCAGAGCATAAAGAGAGCCGCCGTGTGCCCATACGGAGTCGTGTTCACGTTGTGAAACGCGAGTAGCGGCGCGGCAACGCTCGTATACTGAGACAGCACATAACCATAAGTTGAAGACGATAGCTCCAAAGCTGAGCCACGACAGCATTCAACAGGTCTATAGCAGACCAAGTCAGTGGGCGAGGCGAGCTATAAAACGGCTAAAATGGAACACACTTCCATATCGAGCGGTGACGTCTGCTTACAAATATGCGGTATGCCGACAAACATCACTGTTACACCGGTAAAAAAAGATTCTATAGGTATAATTTCCGATAAAATCGTTTTTTTTAACAACCAGAGCTCCGAAGGAAACATTACCTTACATAAGGCATAATGATCCATCACGAAAGATTTAAGATACGGTGTCATCAGAAAATTATCGGGAAAGTATAACACGGGACAGACACAAAACTATGACAACCAGACAACCGCAAACAACACAGCGCAATAGACGAGCATCGTAGGACCACGGGAGCCCTGGATGGCATCCTTGCAAACACGCAAGGTAGGTAGCAAAGCAGCGCGTTTCAACCAGCGTGATTATGGTATGCTTAACATGTGCCTCGGAGATCAAAACCAAGACAGATGATGTTGGGTAATTGGAAAACTCTTCACGGGCTCGCTCAACCACAGATAGGTGTTGCTGGGTGATTTGGGACGGATCGGGCGGACTGCGTGCGGACCCACCTGCGGCCGGGTGCTCGTCCAGCGGCGTCCATTCGTCCCAGGTGAGCGTGGCGCCGTCCGCCAGACGGGAGAAGCGGCGCACACTCTCGCGCTGTCGGGTGCGCACGCGGCCCACCACGGCGTGCACGATGGTCTGCAGGTGGCCCGAGAGGCCCCACAGCGGCGTGGGCACGTACCTGGTCAGCACAGGGTGCGGTCAGAACGGTCAGACGTCAGAACCCCGCCTGCAGGCCGGAAGTGTGATGGACCCCCACCTGGTAGACTGCAGAAGTGCATGGTGCAAAAGCTCAGTCATGACAGTGTTCTAAAAATGCAGACCTTCAGGGTAACACTGACAATGATAGACAAGCACGTTTGTTACTCAGGTGCATAAAGTTAGCTTTTGATATATGATGCTCTTCATGTATAAGCTCCTTCTGGTGACAGGTAGCATTCTATTTTTTCCAGGTAACCACAAGGTCTGGTCATACACCATAATGGCATTAAGTGCATTGTGTGGGTAAATATTACATATTAGTATAAAATCATTCATTTATTTTTAGATAAGGCATACATTGTACAGTGAAAACATGAAATGAATGCAATGAGCTGCTGACAACTTGTGCAATGTGCAGCTGTTCTTAGGCTCTGACACTGAAAGCTAACAAGCCGGAGCAATACTTACGGTTTCAGCAGATCTGGGCAGTGTTTGATAATGTTCTCACAGAATTTCTGGTCCTTGCATGTTATGGAAGGTATGGATGGAGAGCTTTGCAAGTTCAGAAACTTTACCACCAACCATAAGCATAAAGCAACAATTGCAAGAATTGCCATGGAAGACATGACAGTTCCCTGTTGATGAAGTGACTGGTTATGTCCAAACAAGCCTGAACCAAGAATGAAATACTTAATTTATCATAAACCGAGAGGTTTCCTGAAATGAAGGCCATTGTTAAAAAACAAACACAAAGAGACATATAGACATGTAACATTCTACCAATTGTTCACACTTTAAGCTTACTGTTTCAGGGCAGAACTATCCCAATTTTCATTAGCTTTGAAAGGAGACCTCATCTCATACTTGGCACAAAATTAGCCAATTGATGCAATTGGTGGCATACAGAGCTAAGCACACTTTGCCAGCTTTGCCATCTATAGTGATAGGGTCACTTGTTGCAGAAGGTAGGTAAAAATATGATTTTAAGTTTTACTTCACTTTGGATGATGTAGGCGCAAACCTCTTTTTTTTAGTAGGTACATACAGTTCCCTTATAGGTACCTTATGAGAAAAACAAATTTTGTCCATTTGTGGGAGGGACAAATACCAAAAATCAATCGCACTGCATTACTGGATTTTGGAGCAGTATACAACGGTTCTCAGTTTGAGTTAGCTTGGATCCAGCCTCAAGCCTTCACGACTAATAACTGTAACATACACTTACTTCGTCTTCAACTATAGAGTAGGTACCTACCAGGGTTGTGCTTGACTCATGAGTCGAGTCAGAAATTTGACTCAACTCTGACTCAAATGAGTCAGATTTGAGTCGAGTCGGATAAAATGCTGAGCTGTTGAGTTGAGTCAGAGTTGAGTCGGACAAAAATATTAAGGTGTTGAGTTGAGTCAGAGTTGAGTCAGTAAAACAACTTTTGACATTGAGTTGAGTCAAAAACATTTAGGAACATGAGTCAGCTGACTCAACTTTCTAGAAACAATATATAGTATAAGTTTTTCATTCTCCCCCCGCTTAACAACTTAGGCCTGGCCCTGCTGCTGGATTTTTTCACCCCCCCCCCCCCCCGCTCAACGACTTTTTTATCTGAGTCAATTTTGAGTCAACACATTTAACTCAACAAAAAATTGAGTCAAGTTTGAGTCAACTCATATTTTCATTGAGCCGCTTGAGTCATGAGTCGAGTCAAGGGAAAAAATCAGCTCCTTGTTTGAGTCAGAGTTGAGTCAGGGCATTCTGAAGTTGAATGATGAGTTGAGTCGGCAAATTTTTTTGAGTCGAGCACAACCCTGGACTACCTACTAAACTGAAACGAAAATATTACACCTTACTGTAACTTCAAACCACTTCCAAGTTCCAACCTACTACGCCCACACTGCGTCACACACACACACGCGCCCGGTATTGTGATTGGTATCTCTCACTACACACGGCGCACACGGCAATTTTTCCACACAATGCCCGAGAAATTCGGTAATGAACCAAGGGTACCAAGGTAGGTACTAGGCGGTGCTGTTGGGTTGGTAAGCTGCCTTACATACTGCAAGCGTCACTGCTTTTGATTTGGTGCTTTTGATAATAAAAGTATGCAACGCTACAATTCCTGCAATAATTGAACGAGAAACTATGTAACAATAAAGTGTATAATATCAGTACATTGTAATAAATCAAAAAATAATCCATATTACGTAATTTGATTGCAAAAATGAGGAGTCATCTGCTCGTTTCTAGAGCGTCATTTATGTGACCAAATATGACTAGGAAGAGGCTGCTAATTGCTATCTTCTCGATTTAGGGTAAAACTCCTTTTATACAGTTGATTTATAATTATCAACAAGTAGAAAAGTTTGTTCGTATGAGATGAAACTGATGCCGGATATATCAAAAGTTATTCAGCATAGAACACGGACGATTTTACTCGCTACATGATTGCGAGTTATTTCCCAAAACCAAGAGCAAACTGCAAGTTAGATCAATGATCATGATTTGAAAATCGAGGTCCTAGGTTGTCAGATTCATAGATAAGCCAGATTGGTACAATACTATGCAATGGCAAAATTTAATAGACGATACATTTTTTTGCATTGTCTTGTATTTCTGATCGTGGAATTTCGTAGAGGTAGAAGGTAACTGACTACAAGGGCGACCTCTTTATGTGTAGATGGCAGCACGTAGAAACAGAAAGATCAGTTTGCTTACAATGGTTTACAACTGCTTTGTCTTGAAGCTTTGTAATATCCTTTGATGATCGCAAAGGTATTACAGCCTAAGTACCTATATTGGATTTTTCATGAAAACATCATTTTTCAATGAACGTCCTTTTTGAAGAGTTTTCATGCAAATTTTATGACGTCATAGCATATGCATTGCCCTAAAGTGATGAAAGTACCTACCCTTGATTACCTTACCTGCTAGGATTTTTTGCGGCCATTGCGGCAATTGTGGCTGTCAGCGATGCATATTTACGTCTGGACAACGAGTTGCGGGGAAAAGTGCTGATTGTGTTGCAGTTTTAGGAGCCGGTGATTAGGCTGGATTTTTGGGCTACTTTTTCGTTCCGATTCATGTATTTCATAGTGTTTGGCTTTTGAATATTTTAGTTCTTTCAGATAAATATTACTTGCCTTACAACTTTGGTAAAAACGTTTCATTTTTTTTATAAGCGTTCAGAGTCCTAAAAATGCATCAGCACTACAATCATTGTAAACAAACAAATGGAGCACCACTTGGCTCTGTTCCAAGGCCATTTTTTAGTTTATCTGGTGGTTTTCTTGCTCTTGTACGTCGTTTTGTTGGATATTTTTAATCCCTTAAGAATGACTTATATCATATTTAAGAAGCATGTTGACTGAAAACAATCTGAACTCTGAAGTATCCAGGAGGCTGACAGAGGTCCTGACTACTGAGCTATATCAATATCAAGTTGAACAAGTTATGAAATTTTGGTTGATAAACGCAAGTTGATCGGGCTCATATATCAGCAAGAAAAAGTAAAATTAAAAGAGCTTATTGTCCAAAAACAAGCTATAATATTGCAGACCTTGGAGCAATACTGAAGAGCACGCTGAGCAGGATCATGCCAGAAAATGTTGACTGATGAGCGCATATTGATGTATTGGTATGAATATTGAATGATAACTTACAACAGCAAGATAAATTAGTGCTAACTATCAAGTTAAAATCTAGAATGAATGGACTTTGGCAGTTTGTTAGATGCTATGCAGATTGTAATGTGCATCAGGTACTCGTGTCTGGCAAATGAAACATGCGATCATTACATTGCTACTGGAGGAGAAAGCTTGGATCACTAAATCCACTTTATGTTGATTTTGATGTTAATCATCATCACTGTATTTCTTGAAAAAAGGATTGTAGTAAAATTGTCAATGTGACAATCCATGCAACGATATAATCATATGTGTTCATAGTCATTCGTGATAGTCATTATTGGTCCAATATACAATGGCAAAGCTCTCAGTCTCAGCGTTTCTTCCTGTGGATGGCCAGCAGTGACTCAGAGCTTAGAAGTATTAGTTTTCTTCACAGGGCTGGGATAAAAAGTACTGAGGGTAATCTTCCACCAAGGAACTCTACCTACTTTGACATGGTATGAGATGTAGGCACAAGTAGGTAGGTGCTCAGTTCCTATAGTCAGTAGTTGTGTATGTTTAGTCGGGTTAGCTTAGATCAGATTGTTAGTTTTTTAATTTGCCAAATGTCCATAAAAATGTGACCTGAGCAATGAGCATACCTGAACCTGACTAACCTGACAGCTAACCTAACCTCAATCATCACACATATTTGCAGCCTACCCAAGACCTGCAATGGCAGTAGCACCCAGTTATAGGTAGGTACTCACCCTAACTCAATCTTACCTGCTAACCTTCAACTTGCCAAAAGTTAGCTCACATTGCCAAGCTGTGTCCAGGGAAACAGGCAACTGAGGAACTGGCTCATTGGGTGGCTGGTGTGAGTCTGTGCAGTTAAAGTGTTTCTTCTCTGAAGCTGCTCTGCACTGCTGTATGTCATGTTAGATGCTCAGAAAATGTGGGAAATGATTACTAAGCTACTTTAGTGCTTTGTTAATGCTCGAGACATGAACAAGTACAGATCCTGCAGGGTACAGCTATGAGTTAGGTGCTAGGTGAGTATGTTATGTGAATGTGCTGTTCCCTGTTTGACTGTAAGTATACAAACAAGCACAGGGTCACAGTTATATTCAATATCCACATAAACATACAACAAAAACGGCCATATAGCATAACTCCGAACACACCACAGATAACTTAAGCCTTTGAAGGCACAAAAATGTTTTGATTAACAGGACAGGTTTACAATATATCCTCTGTCCTTGGGGGATCTTGCTGCCAAGTTGAGGTATGATGACTGAACTTCAGGATTGATCAACCTTTTCTTAGCCATGCTGCTTATAAACGAGAAAGACCAAATGCTTGTTTGTTTTGATTTACAGGACATGTATACAATATATCCTCTGTCCTTGGGGGATCTTGCTGCCAAGTTGAGGTACGATGACTGAACTTCAGGATTGATCAACCTTTTCTTAGCCACTGCTTATAAACGAGAAAGACCAAATGCTTGTTTGTAAACTGCGTTGAAAATTTAATGATCCTTCAATTCTGAAATGAAGGCACAAATGAAATAGTTCCCTCTCCTTTTGGAATACACAAAGCAAAATATTTAATAAATTTTAGTGGATGGACAAGAGCAATTAGCATAGCTTTCCCTAAGTTAACTTCTGGCACTGTTGATGAATTACACTGACGCTTATTCGCTTCATGTTTTGTAACAAACGCGCTAAAACTGCAATATAACAGCACTATATGCTTCTTGACAAAATGCAAAAGTATTAAAAATTTAGCCCTGATGGCATTCATTCTTGGTGGAAACGTAATTACAAAATATTTTGTAGTAACTATTGAATTCCGGCCGAAAACAGTGCACGGTTTAAAAAAGAATCATTCCAATGACGGTCATTTCTTGCGGTCCTGAAATCGCCACTATTTCCGGCCTCTCCAACGCAACTCGTTGTCCAGACGTAAATATGCGTCAGCGATGCCATTCCTTGGGATTTGTCCCAAGATCTTGGGATTTGAACATTAACATTGGGATCTTGTGATTTGCACTGCATATCTTGGGATCTGGCAGAAGCTGATTTCACTTTGTCTTCTCATGCTGTCGAATGCTTTTTCCTTGGTCGATAATAGATTTAGGATGGATTTGCACTACGGACGGTTAATCAAACATATTGAAGTAACGGACGAAGCTTGCGATGTTTCTAGCCGGCATTATCTTCCCGAGATCGCAGGATTATTTTTGTACCATTACTTGTTAGCATATTTACGTCTGGACAACGAGTTGCGTTGGAGAGGCCGGAAATAGTGGCGATTTCAGGACCGCAAGAATGGACCGTCATTGGAATGATTCTTTTTTAAACCGTGCACTGTTTTCGGCCGGAATTTAATAATTACTACAAAACATTTTGTAATTACGTTTCCACCAAGAATGAATGCCATCAGGGCTAATTTTTTACTACTTTCTTATTTTGTCAAGAAGCATATAGTGCTGTCATATTGCAGTTTTAGCGCGTTTGTTACAAAATATGAAGCGAAAAGCGTCAGTGTATATCAATATCAATATTGTTCACTATTTCATTTGTGCCTTCATGTCAGTATTGAAGGTGGATCATTAAATTTTCAACGCAGTTTACAAACAAGCATTTGGTCTTTCTCGTACATAAGCAGTGGCTAAGAAAAGGTTGATCAATCCTGAAGTTCAGTCATCGTACCTCAACTTAGCAGCAAGATCCCCAAGGACAGAGGATATAATATATTGTATACATGTCCTGTAAATCAAAACAAACAAGCATTTGGTCTTTCTTGTATATAAGCAGTGGCTAAGAAAAGGTTGATCAATCCTGAAGTTCAGTCATCGTACCTCAACTTAGCAGCAAGATCCCCAAGGGCAGAGGATATATTGTATACCTGTCCTGTTAATCAAAACATTTTTGTGCCTGCAAAGGCTTAAGTTATCTGTGGTGTGTTCGGACTTTGGAGTTAGGCTATATGGCCATTTTTGTTGTATGTTTATGTGGAGATTGAATATAACTGACACTGTGCTTGTTTGTATACTTACTATCGTCAAACAGGGAACAGCACATTCACATAACATACTCACCTAGCACCTAACTCATAGCTGTACCCTGCAGGATCTGTACTTGTTCATGTCTCGAGCATTAACAAAGCACTTAAGTAGCTTAGTAATCATTTCCACATTTTCTGAGCATCTAACATGACATACAGCAGTGCTGAGCAGCTTCAGAGAAGAAACACTTTAAATGCACAGACTCACACTAGCCACCCAATGAGCCAATTCCTCAGTTGACTGTTTCCCTGGATGCAGCTTGGCAATGTGAGCTAACTTTTGGCAAGTTGAAGGTTAGCAGGTAAGATTGAGTTAG